TGCCTTAGGCACTATACAACCAACCCATCTTCAATCATTATTTATATTTTCCCAGAAAGTGGTACCACTCACCACAAAATTGCCCAAACCAAAAACCCAATTATTAAACTTTAATCCCCTGTATTTCTTCTGTTTAGTCAATCACAGAGCCATGTTGATTTTATTTCCTAAATATATCTCAGGTCAACTCAGTTCTCTTCGTTCTGTTACTGCTGTGGCGCAGGACACCATCCTGTCTCAACTGGATTACTGCAAAACCCTCCCCACAGGGTTGATCCTCTTTAATTGTTTCTCTACCCTGAACTAATAATGTGCTTTCCTTTTTAAAAATTGTCATACAATAATGTTAACTTCTTTTTGGTGCACAGTTCTATGAGCTTTAAAAAATGAATAGATTTGTATAAAATTACCACCATAATCAGGATATAGAACAGTTCCATAACCCCAAAAAACTCTTTTGTGCTCCTCCTTTGTAGATCCTACCTATAACCCCTGGCAACCAAAGATTTGTTTATCAGTAATGTGGCCTTTTAAAATGTCTATCTGTTCATGTTATTCCCTTCCTTAAAACCATTCTTTGGCTTTCCACTCTTACGAGAATAAAGTTCAAGACATGGCCCTTGTTTAATTTTCTCACTCCTCTTTCAACACTTCTCATCTCCCATCTCCTATCACTCTTAAGATCTGGCCAGACTGGATGTCTCTCCACTACTCCAATACACTGTTACCTTTGCTGACTTCTCGCCTCACAATACTATTCTCTCTGATTGTAATGCTTTACACCCTTCTTATACCCTCAGGTTCCTTTACTTGGATAATTCAGAGCTTAGCTTAAATGTCCTTTCTTCCAAAAAGACTTCCTTAATCATATTGAGTAAATTGTTGCTGTTAAGTGCTTCCCCCTTTCAGAGTATTTATCACACATCACTGCAGATGCTTTATTCAACCATGTTTTCTTCTAGTTTATAAGCTCTAAGAGGCAGGAGTTATGACCATCTTTGCTTTTCACTGATTCTACAGCCCCCAGCACCTCGTAAAAAAATATTTTTAATAACTTAGTGAACACAGAATTTGTGAGTTATATGCAATGTACTTCTTCATCAACCTGAGATACATATTTTAATGGTTTTATTACAGAACAAACATGGAGCAACACAATTCATCTTTGATGGTAGAGTTATCTTACCCAGACTTGGTTATCAATGTAGGAAAAGTGACTTTGGGTGAAGAAAACAGAAAGAAGCTACAGAAAACTGAGAGAGACCAAGAAAGGGCAAAAGTTACTCAGGCTGCTTGTATTTTACTAAACTCAGGTGGAGGAGTGATTCGGATGGAAATGACAAACAAGAATGAGCATCCCGTGGAAATGGGACTGGATTTGGAACAGTCTTTGAGAGAGCTCATTCAGTCTTCAGATTTGCAGGCCTTCTTTGAGAGCAACCAACAAGGAAGATATTTTTCCATTTTTGTTCAGTCTTGGAGCAGTGACCTTTTCCCTAAAGACGGTATCATCAAGCCCCGCATTTGCAGCCTGTGCTCTGCACTCTACCGCAGGTCTGGCACCTCGGTGCTCCTCATGAGTTCAAGAGAAGCATTCAATTTCCTGAAAGCCAAGAAAAGGAATGCACAAAACAGCTCAGAGATAGAACCGCCCAGTAAAGCTCTCAGAATTACACCTCAGAGCCTTCGTAACTCGGATCCTGCTTTCCTGGTTTTCCAAAGAGACAGGCTTGAATATGGTGAAATCCTGCCTTTTCCTGAGTCCCAATCTATAGAGTTTAAACAGTTCTCTACAAAACACATCCACACATATGTAGGAAATATAATTCCAGTCTACATCAGTGCATTTGCAAACACTGTGGGAGGCTATCTTTTTATTGGAGTGGATGATAAAAGTAAGAAAGTCCTGGGATGTGCTAAAGAAAATGTCAACTGTGACTCTTTGAGGCAGGCAATAGACAGAGCAATATCCAAATTACCTTGCATCCATTTTTGCCAATCCCCAAGCGAGATCAACTTCACAGTCAAAATCTTGGATGTGTTTGACGAGGAAGGGCTGCATGGTTATGCTTGTGTGATCCGAGTGGAGCCATTCTGTTGTGCAGTGTTCTCAGAAGTTCCCAGTTCTTGGATCGTGAAGGACAGGAACATCTGCAGCCTGACAACTACAGAGTGGGTAGACATGATGATGGACACCGATCCAGGTGAGGAGAAAGCTCTTCCTTCCCTGTCCTTCTGTTTTGGGCATCTCCATACTGAATAGATCTTTCTTTGTCTTGTGACTTTGAACTTCTCCACCCACTAAACTGTGTTTTTTGAACCTCCAAATATCCTACTTTTCATACAGGAGAATATTTTGTTGGGTGGTTAGCAACCCAAATCAGGTGTTTCGTAAGTGCCGATTTTCTTTATTAGAAACTGAAATAAATTTCTTTGGGAATGGTTTCCTTACATTGTTATGCTGAGGTCAGCTCCTACTGGCTCCAGACACAATTATTAAATTATCAGAAATTTTGTGAGCCAGCTGTTAAATACAGAAATTATTAAAAATTAAGACATATAAACTTCTAATTAAATAAGCATATTAAGAACAAAGGTAATAAGTACAGACCCACCATTTCCTTATTATTTACTACATTTTACCATTATCAATGCTTGTGAGGTTATTAACATCTATCATATCTTTATGGGGGAAATATTATAAAATGGCATGCTACTACACATCTCTTCCCAGCTCAGTATTTAGTGACATCGCATTGGTAGCATGAAATTGTCCATGAAGGAAATATTTACACCACAGAAATTGGCAAATTCTACAAGTGAGGGATCTCCTCACAATTAGACCCAGTTGTGAAATATTTACCAGTGTTATTCTGCTTCCTTGAGTTGGTACTTTGAATTTCTTAAAGTCTTTTGGATTGAATCATAACAGTACCTCTGCATAAACTAAGCTGTCTTCTGACTGTTGATCCATGGGGACTTTTCAACTCAGTGTAACCTGAAACCAGCTCAAAGTGATGAGGACCTTCACAGGGCAAATATATATATATAGTCTTTGAGTAGCACAAAAGGAGCTTTGGTGGCATAGTAATTAACACATTTGGCTGTTAACCTAAAAGTCAGTGGTTCAAACCCACCAGGCACTCCACAGGAGAAAGATGACGGAGTCTGTTTCCATAAAGATTACAGCCTTGGAAACCCTGTTGTGCAGTTCTACTCTGACCTATAGGGTCACTATGAATAGGAATCGATCCAATGGTAGCAGGTACTGGGTAGCACAAATGGTTAAGCACTTGACTACTAGCCAAAAGTTGGGCAATTTGAACCTACCCAGAGCATAGTGCCTAAGACACTTGACTGCTAACCAG